GAGAGTAAAAGCAGCCCAGGAGGCGGAGCCAAGGGCAAGAGCAAAACCAGTAACGTTTAACCAGCTAGTTCCTACTGAAGGGCAGAAAGCGCATAATGAACAGAAAGCAATCAAGAGCAAACAGTACGAGGCAGAACATGAGAAACGTAAATTAATTTACATAGTTTGTGTGAGACATTACAGAAAACTGACCACAAATAGTGACACGGGACATAAAAATGCTTCTTGATAGGCAGACCTTACATGTTCCAGTGGTAATGTCTTAAGAGGTCCCTGAAAAGCCTTCAGTTGATCCCAAGTGATCACCACGCAACAGTAAGAGGATTAAGGCGACTAAAAAGAGAGAGCATATTTCTCCCAAATTGGCTCAACTTCATGGGCTCCCTGTTAAATCCAGAATGTATTTTTTTAAATCTTCATCCTTACATAGAAAGTCCAGAATAATCAGGTGCTATCATACCTTAAAGACCTCGTAGTAAAAGTTTCAAAAAGTAGAATGAAAGCTGGAGAATTCGGCTATCGGGCTAAAGAATTAGCTCCCAGTTTGGATTCAGGAGACAGACACCCTGAACTGAACTGTCCACTTCTAAAATTTCCTTTGTAATAAAGCTTTTACTTATGGTTGGATGAGGTGACCCTGAAACATCCTTTTATGCTGCTATAGGTTCAGGCTGCACTTCCCATGATGCACTGAGCTCTTCTACTTCACTTCTTTTTATTCCTATATGTGCAACTGTTGCTCTCTTGTTGTTTGTAGCCTCTCTGTGTCCATCTTTACTCTCTTCCCTTTTGCTCCACCCTCCGCCCAGTCACACTAAATGCAGCCCAACCCTAACAGCTGGAGGTCTCTTCCTGTTAAAAAGGAGTTCATTCTCCCCATTGTCACCAAGTACTCCTTATAGGTGATTGTGTGATTGTTGCAGTTCTCTCTCTAATAATGTAGTATGTAACTTACAATAAAAAGCGCCTTTAGATGACTGTTGTTTTGAACAGACACTGTATAAAGATATAAACAACTTATAAAAACAACAACTAGCTAGAATGTAACTGAAGTTTCTCATGTTCATTGTCTCAGATGTTTAGCTTTTGATTTGACTAAAACAAACTGTTTCATGTCTTAAGTTCTCTGAAGGATTTGTTTTATTTGATGGGCTGATGATGATGATGATGATGATGCTGTGGTAGCTGATGTCCTACGGAAACCTCACTTCTCCATATTTCAGCTTTTCATGCATTTTTCCTTTTTTTGTTTGTTTTGTTTTATTTTGTTGCACAAAAAGTGTCAACATTTTCTAAATGAAGGTTTGGAGTTCCTGTTTCTCTGCCACTGTTACTGTGCTCTGATCAACACTAAAGACAAACTTAGGAATGTTAATATTTATGTTTACACACAATTATGATTAAAAAATTTATGTGGTTATAATCATGCACATTTCTAACGTGCAGCAGCACAACAACAAATTTTTAAAAACCACTGTATATATTAGTATTTAATTATGTGGTTTGGTTTTTTTTACATTATATTCAACTTTTTAATTTTGATTTTATCGTCTATGGCATGAAGTAGAAATTAGTAGTTTGATGTGTTTTTGAGACTGGGAGGTTTAAAGATGCACCTTCTACAGCAGCTGATAAACTGGCTGAGCATATGAACGATGAAGTGGGAAAAGAAAACGTTTAAGCTTTTTCCTCCTTTTTCTTTTACATCTTTTGTGAGATTGAAGTTTTACAAACTTTCTCAAAGCTTGAAACATGAAGACTGAGGCTGTAATCTGATACTCATATCCATTTTTTTTCAATACTGCAACATTTTCTGGTTCAGTGTTTAAGATGGGAGACTTTATTTATCACGAGCCACATTTCCACCTTAATTTATCAGAACTCTTGCTTATATGTCTAAACTTTTCAAGTTTCCACCACGCTCTGGAAATACTTGGCAAATACAAGCCAGTCATTTATAAAATCATTGACTTACTATTAGCAGACCCACATTGTCGGGTTAATATAAAAAAAATCAAAAACATAAAAATATATAGATTAAAAAGTGAGCGTATAATCGAACAATCAACAACACTCAGGACTGTAACCCCACCTTAAAAGATTAAGCCCTGCCCACTTCTGCTTCCACTTTGCCATACAAACACACTGTAGATGATTCTCAGTGGTTCGATGTAGCTGGCTGGAACCACTGACCATGCACTACCATGACTAATCCCTTATGCAATTACAGATTGTGCTCTTTAGTTGAGAAACGTCCATTTGTGTTCTGCAGAAACCTCAGCTTTGTTTATAAGTTTTAAACGGACTCCCTGAAACTACATTTTGTAGAATAACTGACAAGGTGTTTATCTCCCAGGAACATTACTGCATTAAAAATGTTGCAGCTCTAAGTCGCAGCATATATCAAAGATAACAATATGAAGCAGGACTAAATGAACTCGGTAAATGAGGCATTCCTAAGTGGTGGAACGTTTTGTGGCGCTTTCTTGTAATCCAAAAATGATTTGTAATTTTCTAAACCTTTAATGTTTGACACAGCCTCTAGAGCCTCACTAGCGCCCTCTAAAGGCTTTTGTTATACTTGCTGTCCGATTGCATGAAAAGCAGAACAGATTACAGCCCCAGTTTTTTTAAAAGCTGTGGGAAAAACTGGATCACGTCTGTTATGTTTTAAACGCATGTTTATGTTCATTCAATTACTGTTACTGATGTTTCACCGTGGTTGGATTTATTCTCTAGTTTTTAAATTCACATTCCTGTATATGTTTTGCAGTTTGAGTCAGTATCATCCTGCACTGCAGTTTCAGATGGTTTACAGTCACCTTTTTGCAGTTTTCTATTTCTCTGGCTTTGCACACTCGCTGTGTGTGGTGGGCTGCGGTAGTTGGTGGGTATCTGAGGCAGTGGGGCTCAGGAGGATTTACCTGCATCTAGTCCTGATCTGTTAAAGGAACAGTCCAACATTTTAGTTTGTCATCTCTGTGCACTTTGCCTCTGATTGGATGATTAAGTCTGGGGACTATGCATACAGAGTTTCTTCACTTCATGTTTTTGTTTTTTCCCCATTTAATATTTCTCTGAATTGATATTTCCCAAATATCTCACTCTTCACTGTTTAATTGCTAAATTTAGACAGTTAAGTGTAAAGGAGGTGTGACAAGGTTAAAACTTTACTGTTACTCAGGACATAAAGGTTTCCATGCTTGCTTCACACCCCTTCCAGTGAGCACACTGCAAAAAACAAGGTGTCATTCGGCTTAAAAAAAAGTCAGATTTGGGACCTGTTATACATTTACTTCTTTTCTGTCATATACATACTATTACAGTGGTGGATGCTCACATTAAGCAGAGTTTCAAGTAATTAGGTCCGTGTATGTACAA